CACAGTGATACACACTAAAGAAAAGAGTCAAGAAACTATATTTAAGAAGGAAAACATGAATCACCGACTTGTTCTTATAAGCTTGAAAAGTTTAAACGTTGGTGTAAAATATTACCGTTGTGGTATAATGTAACACGTGAGATTTAAATTATAGCCGTTTATCGAAAACGCAACTTGATAATTGGGCTTCGTTATAGGTTAAACTTGAAAATCATTAATTAATTTGCACAATCGTTATGGGCCTATGGCTAATCTTAGGTTTATTTTCTCTGTTGTTGTTGACAAAACGGCAGCCATTTTATATTAAAGATGTGGAAAACGGCAAGATGTGTTGACATGAACGGCGTAATTCTAATCCTAGTGGGTATATTAACCACTCTTCTGATTCTCTTTCCGTTTTTCTGTGCTCATCTTAATTAGTCAGAAGTAACTAGTTTTGGCCCATTGGGCTTAGAATCTTGTATTGGACTGAATCTTACGGCCCAAATATGTTGAATTAAGAATTAAACCTTCTGATTTGCTTAGAAGTTGCTACATGAATTTTTTTTTTTTTAAATAAAGAAAATTGGACGCATTTCTCGTCATAAAATCTGAGAGACATCGTCGACATCTAGACGAATCCAAGTAATAAATAGCAGGATAATCTATAAATATTCGTTGAATCTTGTAATAATCATTTCGTTTGTCCGCATGAGGCCTATCAATTTCTTAGCTTGATAGATTTGGGGTTTTAGTAAAAAAAAATTCGAGGGTTTTTGTGGGAGACGAAATTAGGGCTTTTTTGGTTTTGGTCGGTGACGAAGAAACAGTAAAAAAGAAGATGCAGCAGTCTCCTCAAATGTTTCCGATGACTCCTTCTATTCCGCCTACTAATATCTCTACCGAGCAGATCCAAAAGGTTCCTCCTTTGTTCCAATTTCTCTCTGTTTCAGAGTATATTTCACTCTATTGAAGTCTTGTTGATTTGTGTTCTGAGTCGGAATTTGGAGTCTGTTTGTGTCGAGAATCAATGGGTTCTTGTGATTGAGTGAAGTAATGGTTAATTTGGTGGTAATTGGTCTTAAAGTGTTAGGTTTTACTCAGGAATAGAATCTCAGAAGTGAAGTTGGGTGTGTTCTAGTGATTGAGTGAAGTAATGGTTTATTTGGTGGTAATTGGTCTTAAAGGGTTAATTTTTACTCAGACAGGAATAGAAATCTCAGAATTGAAGTTTGGTCTGTTGTTGGTTATTTCCTGCTTTAATTTTGTTTTTTTATGCACTTAGAATCAGATTTTCAAGATTGGACATTGAGTTTATATGCTTGGTGGGTTTTATACTTCATTTCCTTCTCTTTTCTTTCGTATGCTTAATTTCAGTATCTTGATGAGAACAAGAAGCTGATATTGGCGATTATGGAAAACCAGAACCTCGGAAAGCTTGCGGAATGTGCAACGTAAGTTTCACAATAATGGAATCTGAGAATTAAGATACATATGTATGTGTCGAAATACATAATGTCTTGCTCTCTTATGTTTTCAGGTATCAAGCTCTTCTCCAGAAGAACTTAATGTACCTCGCTGCAATTGCTGATGCTCAACCTCCTCCACCTACACCAGGAGCTGCACCACCACAAGCTATGGCTTCCCAGGTTGTTTGTGTTGATATATCGGATTGAAGGATAATGTATCGGGGTTTGCTTACTTTTGGGTATGATTTCTGTTAGATGACAACACCGCATCCTGCGATGCAACCACCAAGCTACTTTATGCAACACCCGCAAGCTTCAGGAATGGCTCAACAAGCATCACCCGCGGGTATTTTCCCTCCAAGAGGTCCTTTGCAGTTTGGTAGCCCACACCAGCTTCAAGATCCGCAACATCAGCAGCAGCAGATACATCAACAAGCTATGCAAGGACACATGGGGCTTAGACAAATGGGTATCAATAACAACGGGATGCAGCAACCAGAAACCAGTCTTGGAGGAAGCAGCGCAAACGGTAACTCTTTGCACTATGACAATAGTCAATTCATATTAATGGCTTGGTGGGTATCTGCTTATTGTAAGTTTTGATCCTCAAATCTGTCTCTACTAACAGTGGGGCTTAGAGGAAGCAAGCAAGAGGGAGCAGAAGGACAAGGAAAAGATGATGGCAAATGAATGGATTCAAAGAAGCTTTTGTTGTTGCTGTTGTTGATATTTAGGACTTGTGCTTTCTTCCGAGTCACGTACGGATTTTGCAATAGTTTTCTTGAGTTTTAACAGAAGATAGACTGTGGAATAGTGTGTTCCACAAACCTTGTTGTAATGTATTGTTATTTAGTACACGTTTGGTTTGGTTTACAAACATCATTACTCATCTTATTCTGACCTTCAAAGCATTGAACTTTCTTTCTCTCATTCGGGACGCGACTTGACGATGAAATTCTGGCGGCTGATGGGATTCATCACGACGGGAGGACCAGCGGTTCTTGGCCATGATTGGAACTTCTCATCCGTCGCCGCCCACCATTCCTTGTTAGAGACAGTTCCTGGAGTAGTCCCTGAGATTTGTTCACCAGATGTTATTAGAAACCTATTAAGATTGTTCCACAAGGTGAAATCTTGAGCAAAACTTACCTCCAAAGATCTTATTATCGGAGATAAGTTTGTCGAAGATGTATGAGATTCCGAAAGATCCGATGAGAGCACCGATTATGTACTTGGCTTTACCTCCTGATGTTGATGCTGCCATTTTCTTCTAACCTGGACTGATTATCAGAAGTTCAGAACCAGTAACATATGTAACAACCATATACAATCTCACCCAGCAATAAAGGCATGTAAAGATTCAATATTTGGATTATCTGATTCGGGTTTGTGAATAAAACCAATTTCACAACAGAGACTGTGTAAAATCCATCAATTTCTCAAGAAATAATATTCACAAAAAACAGGAAATTTGAAAGGGAAAGAACAAAAAGAGAGAACTTTGTTCGAGTTAGAAGTTACCTTAACAGATTCAGAGACGATGGAGCTAACTAAATAAACACTGGATTTGAGACTGGAGTTGGAGAAGAAGACTTCGATGGTGGAAGATGGTCGTTATCGTTATCTTTAACTGTTAAATTACCAAAATAGCCTCAGCTTCGAGAAGAGTCGTGCTTGCGTGTTAAATTACTCCAATCGTTTTTTAAAGATCATATAACGGTGGAAAATTGATCTTTGATTTGATTATTTCGTCTTCTCAGCTTTGACCAAAATGGATAATTTCCTTTCTCTTTGTATAACGGCCACAAAATATGAAAATATATTTAGATTGCGTTTGAAATTTAACTAATATAGATTTTTTAGCCAAACATATCCTATATTTTTATGGACGACGTATATATATCATAAGATTCTAATACGCTAATGAGAGACAAAAATTCGAGTGTGGACTACAATCAATCATAATATATATTTTTTTTTGAATGAATCAATCTATCAGAATAATAATATAGGTCAATTTGCTAAATAACAAAAAAAAAATAAGTATGGTTTTGCCACATGGGAGGATTTTGG